TTGATTAATATTATTAACACAGTCATTGTTTGCTGACTGTCGTTCCCCCCGCCCCCCGCCCGCCCCTACACTTGCCCACATTGCGCTGGCAGAGCCTTGAGCTTAGAGCAGGGTCTACAGCTCTCCACTCCACCTTCCACTCAACCCTCTTGCCTTTGGCACTGCACTTACAGATAGTAAGCGCTCAAGGAATGCGCTTAATTAGCTAATAAACGAATCCTGACTCACTCAACCCTCTTAACAACTCTGTGAGGTAAGCATTTCATCGCACCTAGGGAAGCTGAGATTCGCGGTGGGCAAGATGCCCAACGTGTATGGGGAAAGGGGAGGAGTCAGGTCCTGACCCAAGTCAGGTCCTAATTTCTGAACCCGATTTTCCCGCTCCTGAACTTTGGCCCCTTGGTGAAAGGGCCAGGGATAGGGCGGACTTTGAGCCAGAGGAAGGTTTGCCCCGGATGACACGGGTGACCTACGCAGGAAAGCAGAACCCAAAGCTCACCGAAGACTAAGGTACGCCCCCTCGGGCTCTCACTGAGTAAGGATCACAATCTGCTGCATATGCATGAGGGGACCATAAGGCCCTGATTCGGGACTACCCGAGATGCGCCTGATTAAAAATTCTTTGGACTTAAAGACGTGAGAGCCCTCTCAGTTCCTCACACGTACATAGAAAGTTTTCAAAGGCTCATCTGAGGTGAACCTTGGGGGGATATTGGGCGAAGATGACCGCAATTTGGGGTTTATGATCAGGCGTCTTCTGGAGGCAGCCCAATGCCAGGAGGGGTCCTTGGACTGCTCCACTCGAAGACGAAGGGGGCGTCTCCCCGGCTTCCTGCGGCGTCGGTGGCGAGCTGAGGTGGAGGCAGGCTGCGGCAGCGAAGGCGACAGTGGCGGCGGCGCCATGGCAGGGCTCGCAGGTACCGTGGCGTCGGCCCCATGGGGACGGGATGAGAGGCCCTCAGTGCGGCGGCGCCGCCATGTTGTCCCTTCGGGGTCACCTTAAGGCGTCTCCCCGTCCTTTTCTGGGGTTTTCCTTCCGCGCACCCAGGGGGCCACCCCTGTCCGGTGTCACGTGATTGCCCTGTGTGGCCCTAACCTGGGCCTCGGGGGTCCTTTCCCGGCCCGAGGCCGAGTGACCGGACCCCTGGGTCTCGGTCTGGCCTCCAAGGTCAGTGCTCGCCTGTCTATTCCCGGGACGGGACAGGCAGAGTCGGGGAGCGCGGGGCTGAGGGGCGCTACTACCGCCTCTTCGTCCCAGGGGCCCATAGCAGGGGGCGCAGCTTCTGAGAGTCCTGTTATTCTGTCCCCGGCCCTTCAGTCTTTTTTTTTTTTTTTAATCAGAAGGGGCGTGGGTGAGAGGGGCGTAAGGGGGTCTCCCGCCCCAGGCACCCGCTTTGGTGTCTAAGGTGATGGGGTAATAGGTTGACGCTCGGCTTTGAGTCGCGGGTGCTTCTTACCTATCTCATAACTTTACATCAAGTCTGGACACCATTTCCTTTCCTCCAGTATATATGGGGAGTGGCCCTCAAGGGCAGCTGAAGGAACGGAATGCCTGGCACACCAATGGCCTGAAAGAATGGGGGATGGGGAACAGTTCTTTTTGCTTACCCCTTCCAGACCTTCTGTAAATTCCTTCCAGGCCTCCGTGTCCCTTTTCCACGCTGAATGTTGGGCAACGCTTAATGTTGGGACAGACTGGGATCTGTCCTAGGGAGCGAATGATCTTTCTGTTCATAGGTTCGGATCGTGTTTTATCCCTTTCAGGGAGCTGGTGTGTTGGGAACAGCTTCTGTTTGCCCTGCCTGACATGGTCCAGCCATCCCCTCAGCCTTCTGGACAGCAACACCAAAGCCAGGACAAAAAAAAAAAAGTTCCAGCTTAAGTGCTAATGCCAAGTGTTAGATCTTGTTTATTTGTTTATTTTAAATCAGAGACTAATTAATGTCAAGCAAATCTTTAAAAGATTCAGGGCCCTGGTCAGTTTCCAGTGACCAGATCAATTCCGGATCTGTAATTGGTCTTGTTAGAATTGCTGCCAAAAACAGTTTAACCTTTTATCTGTAATATGTTGTTTCAAAGAGGAATCTGGAAGTCTGGGTTTGGCTGTCTTTTTTGTTGTTCTCTTTGAAACATATGCATTCCATTCCAAGCCTGTCACTGTGTGCTATACCAAGGACCATGTGTTGCCTGCCTCTTTGACTTCCTGTTCTGGGAATGCTCAGGAATCTGGACCCTGCTGGGGTGTGGGCCCTGTGGGAGGGAGAGGGGGTGGAGGGGAGGGTGAACAGTATCTTTCCCAGAGAAGATGATAACATGACTCTGGGGCATACAGAGGAAGTCAGAGGTCACCAGGGGAAAAGAGACTGTTGGTTAGACTAATGTTTTGTGTGTTATGTGCGCGTTTGTGCACGTTTAAATCTCCGGGGGTAAAACTAACTGGAAATTCAGAATCTCACTTTAGGGTGCTGGCCCCTGAGTAGATACAAGTTTGAAAATAGATCCGTAGCAAATGGCTCACAGCAAACCTGCTCCCTCATCCAGCACAGGTGTAATAAGCTGTTGCTGTCCCACAACTAAAGCTTAAGAAGCTTGTCCCCCACCCCTTCCTTCAGTCACAATCCAAATACTCCAGAGGGTAGAGATAGCGGTGTCACATAGACCCCACAACTCTGAAAGTCATGGTACCTAACCCTACTTCCCCCCCCCCCCCAGCTTACCTGGTTAGGCTGAGGCTGACATCCTTCTTGGGGTATTCGTGCCAAGAGTCTTGCCTTTCCAAAGCCATTCCAATCCCCTCACAAATCATCTGCTCTATCCTTGGTCTTACAGGGACAGAGCCTTTTAGGGGTGGTGGAGATAGTTTAGGGGAAAGGGAGGCCTGTGGACTAAGGGCCCTGCAATGAAACTGTAGTTGTTTTTAACTTCTATCATTGCTCTCTATCAGAATAAAATGCTTTATTGGTACTGCTTCTGGAAAAATTTTTATAAACAAGGTGTGTTTGGACCAGACTTCTAGGCACCACACAGGAACAGAAAGTGGACACATCCCTTCTGCCTTCTCCAGTGGGTTGTTTGCTGCCAGAACATGAGGGTTTGGGGATGAAGGATGAAAGTGGGAGAGTGGACATTGCACACTCAAGCCCACCCACGTGGATACAGGCCACCAGGACAGCGCTTGCCTGGAAGTCTGTCATCGCAGCATGCCACTCTGATGGATGGATGGAGAAGCCCCACAAGTGGGCTTTGCCAAGATTATCTGGAAAGCCTGGGGCTGCCAGCAGCTTCCAGCCTTTTAAAGGGAGTACAGGCTAAGGGGAGCATGCTCTGTCCAGAACAGCCAGACCCTTCCATGCCTGTCTGAACCCAGCTACCTTCTAACTGGGCTGAGGTTAGAGCATGTGGGACAGTGGGGCTGTGGGCATACCCCTTGAAGGCTCTGAGGCGAGGCAGTCTTCATTGAGAACACATGTTGAAATGTTCACGGTTCTGTGGGCTTAGTGTGGAAAACCACAGCAACTCCCAGTCTTGAGGCCTGCCAAGATACAACTTCAGAAGGGAGGTGTGGGCACTGCCTGCTGATGAGTCAGCCTGGGGCAAGAGGAGATCCACCCCACCTGCAGGCTACAGTAGAAGCTGGAGTCACCCAGCCTAAGGGAGATGGGAGTCTCTGATTACACAGCCCCACCCCAGTCCCCATGGGTCCTGATTGCCACTTTGAAGGCAGAATGTTGCTAGTATCTTGGAATTTACCTGGATCTTAGCAGCCTTGGTACAAAGGGGAGCTGATGGTGAGGGGTAGGATGCGACCTGGCCAGTTTCCCTGGGCTGCTTGATGACAAAGGCCAGTACCAAAACTGAGATCTGTACCCTCTACTCCCATAATTCTCTGATGCTGTACTAAAGTTAAAGGTGCCTCTAGAGGTGCTGGCAGTAGGGTTTAGAAAGGGGTTGCTTAGAGGATGGGAGATATTATCAGGCTCAAGAGGCAAGGTGCTTAGTGCTCCAGAAGTGTTTGTGACAACTGTGACTAAGGGATTTGAGGAAGTGGCAGAGAGGGAGATTTACGGCTCCAAATCCTCCCTTGGTGTTGACCCAGGAACAGGTGTGTAGTGACAGGGACACATTAAGCCAGAGACGAGGCTGAACAGGAGGCAGGGCCATTTGGTGAGGCAGTCAGCTGACCATGTGAAAGGAGTCCTGACTCACTCAAGAGTGAAAGGGGAGAGAAAGAAGCCAGGAGCCAAACAGCCAGGCCACCAGCTCATCTACCCTGACATGGCAGGAGAGAGCCCAGGGCCAGGGACCTGGTAAGTCCCAAGAATATGGAAGCTAATGCCAGAAGTGGAGAACCCACTAATGGGGAGAGCTAGAGAGTTTCCTGGGTGTCGGTTAGGAGACCTAGAGAGTAGCACAGCAGAGTAGAATGTTCTTATAGTGGTCCCCGTAGGGGTTATAGGGCCTGGAGGGATAAGGTGGGCCAAGGAGGCACCACACCACACCTCTTACCTGATACTCATTGTCCAAGCCAGTGCCCACCCTGCCCAGTGCTCACTTCCTTCAGGTTCCTGGATGGAGATAATACTTATGTTCTGAAGTCCTGATCACCCCCTTGGTCTCTAGTACCCCATCTTGAGGGCTAGTCCCACCTTTCTTGCCTCCCATCTTTCCCAGTAGTTACCTGCCAAGGCCCATTATTCCAGGACACGTGGATGCATCCACCCCTCTGGGGAAGGTAAGTGGTCCGTTATTCTGAGACCACAATTAAGGATGTAGACCTTTCTCTTTGGTGGTGGTGGTGGGGGGGAGTGTTCCTTTATCTCAGAACAGTGTTAAGTGAAGATGGAACTGGGTTTGCGAGGGTCCCAGCTTATTTCCCCTTTGTTGCCTCCCCCACCCTCCCTCTCTCAAGTAGTGTGCCACCCCCCCCCCCACAGCGGTACATCAGTTCAGTCTTAAGGAGTATGTGTTGAAGCTGTAAAAGAAGTCACGAGAGAGACAACTTTTTGGTGCACCTCCACCACCCCGCAGGGTCCTGGGACACTGTGCGAGATGGGGGAGGTACTGGTTTTTTATTTTTTTGTAGAGGTGGTCCCTGTCCTCCAGGAGCTTACAATCTAGCTGGGGAGACACAACTAATGCACACTTATACAATCAGTACAGTTAGCGATTACCACAATATTGACCACAACTGCGTGAGACCAGGGAAAGCAAGATCAGTGAGGGGCTGGGGGCTCAGAGAAGGTGTTTTAGTAAAGATGGGATTCATTTACTGGTTGAATAGGTCCAAATTGAGTGACACATTTCTTTTGGGGTGGGCTTAGGAGGCAGTGAGTGGGGGAAGGGAATTGAGGGAGCAAAGGCAGCAAGACTGGAACGCACGTGTTGTAGGCAAGGGACATTGAGAGGGCCCCCCTCCATTTCTTAATCCTCCTCCCTCACTCTTGCCCTCAAGTCCCGCCACACAGGCACGCAGCTGGTGCCTTGTCTGCTGCATCAAGATTCAGGGCTTCGGCTGGTGATGCTGGAATGTCCATTCTGCTGGCTGGTGTGGTTGTCTGGATCTCTGTGGTGGGCCTGTTAGCACGGCTATGGCTGCAGGGCTGGGATGGCGCTGTCCCGACTTGGTCCAGATCAGAATGCATTGCCTGTGCCCAGATCTTGGGGGTAAGCTCCCCCCCCACCCCCCCTCCTCCCTCTACCCCACCCAGCAGTCAGAGGGGTGCAAAGGGGCTTGGAAGGGATCTGGTATTGTCGTCATTGTCGGTGCTGCTTCTCCAGGAGCCTACTGGCCCCTCACTGACCTTGGCAAATGCTCCTCTGGCGAGAGAGCACAGGGGACCCCCCATTCCTGCGCGGCACTGGCTCCCATGCTGGCCGAGAAGCACAGGAGCACCTGGTGACAAGGCCGCCCAGGGCTGGGGGCTGGGGCCTCAGTTGGGGGCTCGCTGCCGGCGCTCTCCCAGCACCTGCCGCCCGGTCCTCGACACCGTGTATGCCAGCTTCTGCAGGGAGTACCTGAACACCTGCAGCAAGAGACCCAGGATCTGCCCTTAGAGGCAGGCACCCGCAGCCCGTCTGCAGCGCTGCCGTGCCCGCCCCCACCCCACCCCCTGCCCCGCCCGCCCGCCCGCCAGTCGGACTTAGAGGCAGGCGCGGGCGCAGCTTGTCCACGAGTCAGGGCAGCTGGAGCTTTTCCAACTGTGCTGAAGGCTGCATGGCAGCAAGCTGATTGGACCCACAACTTAGGTATACCTCACTTCTCGCAATGGGCTGTGTCCCTGGAGGATTTCGAAAAGCGAATCCTACCCAGTAAATGCAGCATTCCAGGAACACCTTAAAGGAAATATGCGATTCCTTTGGCAAAGGATTCCCTTAGCAGGGAATTCTTCCTGCAAGGGGTGCTTTTAGGGTAAATGATTTTTTGGGCAAAGTGCTTTCTTCTGATTTATTTTTACAAAGCACTTTGCCTCTGTTTGATTTTTTATTTTAATAAAGCGAATTGTCCTTTTTTGGAAGCGCTTTTTTTCTCTCCCATTTTTCCTGCAAAGAACCTTTTCTAATTGTTTGCTTCAAAGCGCTTTTTATCCGATTCATTTTCTTTCTGTTAGCTCCTTTGTCTGATTTTTTTTTCTGCAGTGCGCTTTTTATCTAATGCATTTATTTCTGCCAAGTGCTTTTGCCTGATTTATTTTTCCTGCAATGCGCATTTTCTCTAATTCATTTTTTCCCGCGAATTACTTTTCTCCAATTTGTTGTGGGTTTTTATGAAGAGCTTTTTTTGGGGGGGCCTGAGAAGTGCCTTTTTCTAACTTATTTTTGGTTCCACCTTCGCAAGCGCTATATATATTTTTTTAAGAAATTTCCCCGCAATGCGCAATTTTTTAAGGCGGAAAATTTTGCTACGCGAGCGTAAAGTCTCTTCGCAGAACACAAGTGCCCCGCCTCCCTCCTGGGGTCGAGTCTGGGTGTAGCGGGTTTTTCTTACCGCGTTGGTCGCTAAGAGCCTCGGCGATCGTCAGCGGCTGGCGCCCGCCGCGCCCCAACTCTTTGTTCCCGGCCGGGCGCGGGCGCACTGGGAAGGGTCTGCGCGAGGAGGAGGGCGCAGGGAACGCGCGGGGGCACGCGGTGCCAACCGCGGCACTCTGGCAAGCAGGGATCGCGGCAATAAGGATAGGATAGGTCCGGGAGGCGGCAATTGCGACGTGGGCCTGACGGTTAAGGGGGCGCGCATCGGGACCCCTCTCCCACCCGGAACCTGGGCACACTTACCTGCAGCAGCACGCGGAAAATGTACCAGCCAATGATGAGCAGCTCAGCTGAGGCTGCCGCCACTGCCGCCATGGTTCCGAGAGTGGTCGGTGAGTGGTCGAGAGCAAGCGCGGTTCGCCAAGGTCCAGCGATTTCTCGGGAGTTCGCTGTTGGGCGCACTGCCGCAGCCGCGGTGGCCGCGCCTTAAGTATCCGCCCGCCACCCAAGTGCGCATGCGCTTCTGGGGTGGGTTCCATTGAGGAGGGGTGGCCGGGGGCGCTCCTCATTCGCCAGGAGAAGAAAAAATAATCCATTTGCTCTTTCCACACCGACCCCCGCCTCCTGAGTTCCATCTTAGCCCCTTTCCAGAAGATTCCGCTGTGCCCGCTTTTAGATTTTAGTGTAAAATGGAGAAGAACTGCAACTCTTGAGTAGCGCAAAGGGCTGGAGTAGGGGATGCATGCCTTTTGGCACGGAACTCCTTCTCTGAGTGGTGGCCTGCAATTTCTATCCCAGTGTCTGTGACACACCAGTACCCCACCTTGGGCACGGGTGGAAAACTAGGAAAACCCAACTTGGGGATCATCTGCCCCACAGAGCGGGGGAAAAAAAAAAAAAAAAAAGAGATGCCCCTTCCCAGAGCCTTGGCTTCAGAGGCCCGTGGTCGGTACTCATTCTGGTATTTGATGTGCTGTGTAAGCCCGTGTCCTTTGCTTCCCAAGAGTCCCTGAACACGGAACTTTCTCTGATTCTTTGCGTCCAGCTTCTTACGGTTACTACCACAGTGACTATTGAATAGAGCCAGAGCACTGAGCTCTAGGCGCACAAGCAGTAGTCCCTGGGTCTACCCTGTGGGAGGGATGCGGGAGGGATTGGCGCCTTTGTGTGCGCGGAAGGGGTGGGATGAGCTTTCTGAAAAGTGGTGGGAAAATGCTCCGGGATCATTTCTGCCAGACAGGTCTTTTCAATCTCTCTCTTATGCTCCCCTCCCCCCCAGGCCCTGTTAGGACTTCACACAGCCAGCGAGGTTCTTTGTACCCGTTGTGCTGGGCAGCTGGAGGTTGGAATGGGGTTTTGCTACCGTCACCAGAGGGTTGTGGCCGCCGCAGGTCCATTTCCAGGCACAGCGGGGAAGACCCAGACATGGGTTGCGAGCTCAGCCTCAACGCCCTGGGGGCCTGCCACTGGAGAGCGCCTCTCCAGCAAGCTACCTAGCACAGGGGCCAAATGGCATTTGCCCCTCTGTGGATAGAAAATTAATTTTGATTAAAAGCTCACAGAGGTCAGGTTCTATACAGTGCCAGCAGCAGATGGAAAGTGTAAGTGATCCAAGCGAGTTCAGTTTGGATGAAGTAGCATGGTGATTTTTTTTTCCTACATTGACTTTCGAAGAAGTTGGCTGGTTTTGGCAAAATGATGCCAGGCTGCCGTCTTAAAATATTTGGTAGTGTTGCACCCCCACCCCCACCCCTGCCCTGCGGCCTCACAGGGCATGCAAGGATCCATTACCCGCGAGTTCCGGCTGGCAGTGAGGTGCTTTAACTCTCTCCCGAGCACCTGCTATGACAGACTAGATACAGAACCGAACCTTGTTCTTATTTTGTGGGGGCACAGCATGGAGCCCGTGGCCATCCGGTGGCAACCACAGGGCGGTATTGTGAGGTCTGGGGCCCTTGAGGACGGGCTGCAGCCCCAGGAGGCGATACATGATCTCTGCTGGGCAGGGCCCAGGCAAAGCCAGTCCACTGTGCCGGACCTGCCCGAAGAGCCCTCTGGCCCACCTCCCTGTCAGGCCCGGGGGAGATACTCTAGGAGCTTCCTGAGATGGTGATGTGGAGCGGAATAAACGTCCATGGGTGGGCAGGGAGGAAAGGGCATTCACATTTGCTGTTGTTAACCATGATCCATTTTCCCAAATAAGTCTACATTCTGTTCCTGTTTTTTTTTGTTTTTTGTTTTTTTTTTTTTTTTTTTGGTGTCTGTCTGTCTGTCTGTTTTTTGTCTGTCTGTTGTGTTGACTTTTCTCTTCAGGATCCCTGCTGCCTTGGTGATCCCGGGCTGACAGCCAGAGAGCACAGCGGCTCAGCTCCTGGAGAGTGAGGGTTGAAGAAAGCGGAGGGCAGCTGCCTGCGCCCGCTGGCTCCCATTAGGTCGGTTCCTGCAGCGGTGCCCGGTGGCCTTGGCGAAGGCCCTGCCCAGCAGAGATCATGTATTGCCTCCAGTGGCTGCTGCCCGTCCTCCTCATCCCCAAGCCCCTCAACCCCGCCCTGTGGTTCAGCCACTCCATGTTCATGGGCTTCTACCTGCTCAGCTTCCTCCTGGAGCGGAAGCCTTGCACGATCTGTGCCTTGGTTTTCCTGGCAGCCCTGTTCCTCATCTGCTATAGCTGCTGGGGAAACTGTTTCCTGTACCACTGTGCTGATTCCCCGCTTCCGGAATCGGCGCATGACCCCGGCGTTGTGGGCACCTAACAGCCTGCCCGGTTAGCTTTCCAAGGAAGCAGAAGATGGGAGGGGAGGCATTGACATAGGTCATAAAGCATTGGAGTTTCAAATCCCGCAGCCCCGCGGGTGCCACATTCCTGACGGCGCCTTTCTTGGCCTGTGATGTTTTATCCTTATAATGTGAATAATGGCACTGACCGGTGCTTTTATTGTAGAGTCCTGTAGTCATGGGTGGTCTTGTGATTGTGTGTGTTCTGTCCCCATCTTGGATCCCCCCCCACTCCTCAGGCTGGCAGGATGGTCACCCCCATCGCCTCATTCCTGCGAGGAGTCTGTGCCCATCCTGGTCCACGGTCCCAGCATGACCTGGGCAGATAAAATGCCAGTCTCGTCACCTCTGTGACCCCCTCCTTTTCAGGGTCTCTTCCCTTCCCAGAATGTTACCATCCCCTCAGTCCCTATCCTGGTTTCCCTTTAGTTCTCTTCTACCCCTTTCCTTTTTGGGGGAGCACCTGTCCAAGACAGGGCTCATTTTTGCACTTATCTCGAATTTAAAGAGATTGCTGACGCCCGAGAGCCTCGCTTTTTCATCCTTCTTTCCCCGGTCAGCAGCCCAGACAAAAACGTGTCTTGACTGTTTGTTGTTCACAAATCTCCAGTATTTTCTCCACTTCATTTTTAAGAAAGAAGTAACAGAGACCTGTTGCTCTTTCACTTGGGTGTCTGGGCTCATGCTTACCAGCCCAGCCTCACTTTCTTTGCCCTTCCTCCTGCCTTTCTCAATTGTCCCAAGGAGGGGGGCCTCACCGTGTCTCCCGTGCATGCTCTGCAGGATTGAGGTGTGGCGTGTCCCTGTAGATCTAGCAGTCCCCAGCCGAGTGAATGGAAGAGTACTTGTGTGTTTCATAACAGCCATGATCCCTGTAATAGGTGTTTGGATATTTTTTGGCGTGCCGTGAGTGCGTGTGTACGTGTGTGTGTGCGCGTGTGTATACAAATACATGTGTATATTCCTTTTAAAGAAGCTTTATGGAGCGTGTCCTGACTTGGAGGTTTAGCAGTAGCTAGCTATAGTAGGTGCCGCTACAGTTTTTATTTAGCATGGGGACTGCAGGGCGACCAGCGCACTGGACTCCGAGATGGTTCAGACAAGACAGAGGGGAGCAGTGGCCATCGTCCTTGTGCCAGGAGCTCCTTCAGTCCTGCGCATATAGACTGTACCTTATGAAGAATACACAGGAAGACTTTGTGACTGTCACTTGCTTTTCGCTTTTTCTGCGCTTCAGTAACAAGTGTTGGCAAACGAGACTTTCTCCTGGCCCCTGCCCACTGGGGACCAGCATGGTTGTCCGTCCAGTCTCAATCATCCATCTTTCTCTTGCCTGAGCGGGAAGGGCGGTGGGCCAGGCAGAGGACAGAACTGGAGGCAGTCCATCTAGGGAATGGGACTGTGAGGCCACACTTGGGGAACATGTGGACTGCTATTCCGGAGCTTTTATTTTTGGTGTGTTCGTTGCACAGCTGTTTGAAATGTTTAATAAAGCTTTATAAACTTTACTTTGTGGTTTCATGTGGCTGCAGTCCATTTGGGTCGTGGTGTTGGATTTCTGCGTTGGTGGGGGGCAGGGAGTATCTTGGAGGGGCTGAGTCTTTGGCGTCAGAGTACCTTAGCCCGAAAATTTGATCTGCTCTCTAGAGAGCAGATGGTGGGGTTGGGGGAAGGGAGGAGGGGGCAGGCCAGGCAGTGAACAGGAGGGAGTCTGAAAGTTTTTACAGATGAGACATTCGTGTTTCTCAGCTCCCATGGCCTCTCGCCTGAAACTGTTTCCCTCCATAGGAGATTTGAGTAACCGATCCCTTGACAAACAACTTAGGACAGCTGGAGCTCTAATCATCAAGGATTTTTATGGTGCTGCTTTTGAAGTAAAAATAAAGTGAAACTCCTATGGCATTTCAAGTGGAAAAATAAATAAGGCTGGCCTCCAACCAGGGAGCTTAAGGTGATGGCTAGAAGTGCAAGAGTGTGGCAGGTCCCTGTCGTTGATGGGCACATGCTCCTTTGGCTGTGACCTTTGAGACAAAGCGGGTGGCTTGCCAGGGACCTGGGCTGGATGTCCACTTCTCAGTCTCTTTTCCTTCTAGAAAACCTAACTGGAGCACTGCTGTCCAAAGCACAGTGCTGTGTAAGGGTTTCTGGAGGTAACCGTTGCAAAAGGGCTTTCAGAGGAGGTCATATGTCTTTTCTAGACTTTTAATTTATTGCTGTAAAGTTTTGTGTTATTTTCTCTTGCCCCTTTTAAAATCTCAACATTGTCAGTTTGTCCCTTTTTTCATTCCTAGCATTGCTTGTCCATGCTTTCTCTTTTCTTGACCAAAACTTGCCAAAGATTTATCCATTTTAAAGGTACTTTCCAAGAACTGAACTTGTATTGATTATATCTGCTGAGTATTTTCTGCCTGATCCTTTTGTGCCTTTACCTCTGAATTCTTCTTTTCTGGGTTTCTGGATTTATTTCATGGTTCAGCAAAGTCTTGACAAGAAGAGTACTGCATGTGGGAAGGAGGGTTTATTCAGCAAACACAGCCCCTGTATGAGGCTTGCTGGGGATTTCAGGGGCAAGACCCAGGCCTGACCCTCCAGGAGCGCATGATTCTAGCCTAGTGGGGAAGACTTAAGAAAATAGACAATTGCAAATTCCAAAAACAAAACAAGCAAACAAAAAAGGCTTTTGTGGCCCCACTCTCCCGTGGAGGCACC